CATGTGATGGCAAACTTGGAGATTTTTGCACAACACGTTCCGTCTATTTAAAGTAATTTGAGTTGTTTATTTTAGAGTTTGTTTTTTATGTTTTGCACTGCAGATACCATAAATGGACCAACAAGTTGCCACAAAACTGACCATCGAAACAAACCAGGCACTTCCATGCCATCATGACTGCCTTCACTGGCGTTGTCGCTACTGCTGTTGGTGATGGTGTCAGTTATATGGGGTTTTTATGGTATCATAGAGGAAGAAAAAAAAAAAATACCTTCAGGTATTAAATAATATTTTTGTTGTTCGGAGGTTTTCTTTTCGTTTTTTTTTTCGAATTTCCTAAAACAACATCAAAGCCCATAAATGTGAGTTTTTTTTTTCTGTAATATCGGCTTATTAGTTAATAATAACTGTAACATGAGTAAGTGTTAACTGAGCCAGACCGTAGCCAATGCTAGGCATGCTGGCCAGCCAGTTTAAATATGAAATTTCATAATCGTTTTCGATGTTATCAATGGATGAATCGAATATCAATTATCAGAGACGAAAACTCGATCACAGAAGCCCATGGCGAGGGACAAGTGTCAACGGCATTGTTTTCATGGCAGTGGAGGGGGGGGGGGGGGAGAGAGAGAATCTTGATTTTATATCAAGTTTGTGGCTTAAGTCTTTTGATATAGGACTGAGATGAGAAAACTGCAAACAAATTCAGACTGCTGTCATTTCGATGCCACTCGTCCGACAGCTCTTAAAATTATTCCAGTGACAGCTCATTACATTTTTTACATGCCTACCAAAGCATTTTGGTGAGAATTTTCCAGAAAAAAAGTTATTCGGGTTCGGAATTCAAGCGTGATAGTGTGTTTTCTTTTTATTTTGCTGGAAAATCACAAGTGGCTTAGAGCTTTTTAGCATTTAAATGTGAATAAATCTTTTGTATTTCGTAACTTCGTACCACAAGTGGCTTAGAGCTCTACAGCATTTAAATGTGAATAAATCTTTTGTGTCTCGTACCATCATCGCTCGTTACCGTGATACCATGATAGCATAGCCCCCGATGTCAAGGAAGTGGACAGAAGAAACGTCAGCAACATCAGCGGAAATGGTTCGAAAAGTAAAGTAGTGACTTGATCGAAACCTGCCGAGCCGCAGTGGCCGAAAAATGGCTCGTGATCCGAACATATCGCAATATTCCATTCGGCATATATTGAAAAATGAGCTCGGGGTAAAGCCATCGAAATTGCAAAAACTGCAGGAACTTACTCCGCAACAGAAAGAAAATAGACTCAAAAGACCTAATGAGTTGCTTCGCTTGGCCGAAAGTGGTTAACTGCCGAATTTGGTTTTCTCCGATCTCCGATGAGAAAACATTCATTGTCCAGCCGAACAATGTAAGCAAACAAAATTATCGTGTTTATTTGCCAAAGAGGTCAGGTCTGAAAATGTACTCCTTCGGTTAGCTGGCCACCAGAACTCAAGCGCCCACCGGCCATGGTGATGGTGTGGGCCGCCATAACAGCCGCTGGCGCCTCTCCGCTCGTATAAATCGAACATCAGAATAAATGCCGAATATTATCGCGAAAATATTCTGAGGGGGGGGGGGGGGGGGGGGGGTGTATTAATGCCTTGGGCACGCAAACATTTTGGCCGCAGACCTTGGACATTCCGAAAGCACTCAGCGCACGCGCCACCCAAGAGTGGTTACAAAATGAGGTTCCTCACTTCATTTCCACCAAAATCTCCGGATACCAATCCGTTGGACTATTGTGTCTGAAGTATTTTGGAAAGCAAGGTTGGCACTAAAAAAATACCAAAATGTCGATCACCGCAAGCAAGCGCCTCGCCGGGAATGGGCCAAAATACAGAGCATAGCAACATTCGGGCAGCGTATGTGACGGCTTCATTGGCCGTTCGAAGGCCATAATTCGTGCCAAATATGACCAATTCGAACTTCGATCTAAAATTATTCCAAAATTTGATGCTATTTCCGACATTTTTGCTTTCATTCAATAAAATTTAAAAATGTAAAAATTAAGCCGTTTGACTTTGTTGCAGTTTTTTAGACCCCTCAAAGTATATTCTAGATCAGCATTAAATTCTATGTCGACTTAGCGATGTCTGTCCGTGTATCGGTCTGTCCGTCTGTGAAAATCGCTCTAGCTTCCGAACGAATTGAAGTGGATTGATAAAATTTTACTCAAATGTATGTTATGTCTGCAGGACTTTTGGTATTGAAAATGGTCCATGTAGGTACACGTTTTGGTATAGCCCCCATATAACGGTACCTCCCGATATTCGGTATTTTGATGATTTTAGAGACTTTATTTACCGGAATTGTTTTAAATTTGGTGTTTAAAGTTCGTAATGGATACTACAGCCTAAGACAGAAAATTGTCTGTGTAGGTCCACGTCTTCGTATAGCCCCCATATAACGGTACCTCCCGATACTCGGTATTTTGATGATTTTAGCTACATTATTAACCGGAAATGTTTCAAATTTGGTACTTGAAGTTCGCAATAGATACTACAGCATATTACAGGATATTGTCTGTGTAGCTTCACGTCTTCGTATAGCCCCCATATAAAGGTACCTCCCGATATTCGGTATTTTGATGATTTTAGCGACATTATTAACCGGAATTGTTTCAAATTTGGTACTTGAAGTTCGTAATGGATACTACAGCTTAGGACAGAAAATTGTTTTTGCAGGTCCACGTTTTCGTATAGCCCCCATATAACGGTAGCTCCCGATATTCGCTATTTTGATGATTTTAGCGACAATATTCATCGGAATTATTTCAAATTTGGCATTTGAAGTTCGAAATAGATACTACAGCCTAAAACAGAAAATTGTCTGTGTAGGTCCACGTCTTCGTATAGCCCCCATATAACGGTACCTCCCGATATTCGGTATTTTGATGATTTTAGCGATATTATTCACTGGAGTTGTTTCAATTTTGGTATTTGAAGTTCGAAATGTATACTACAGCCTATGACAGAAAATTGTCTGTGCAGGTCGACCTCTTTGTAAAGCCCCCATATAACGGTCCCTCCCGATATTCGGTATTTTGACGATTTTAGCGACATTATTAACCGGAATTGTTTCAAATTTGGTATTTGAAGTTCGTAATGAATAGTACAGCCCAAAACAGAAGATTGTCTGTGTAGGTCCACGTCTTCGTATAGCCCCCATATAGCGGTACCTCCCGATATTCGATATTTTGACGATTTTAGCGACAATATTCATCGAAATTATTTCAAATTTGGTATTTGAAGTTCGTAATGGATAGCACAGCCTAGGGCAGAAAATTGTCTGTGTAGGCCCACGTCTTCGTATAGCCGCCATATAACGGTACCTTCCGATATTCGGTATTTTGATGATTTTAGCGTCATTATTCACCGGAATTGTTTCAAATTTGGTATTTGAAGTTCGTAATGGATAGTACAGCCTAGGGCAGAAAATTGTCTGTGTAGGTCCACGTCTCCGTAGAGCCCTCATATATCGGTAATTCCCGATATTCGGTATTTTGACGATTTTAGGTACAATACCCACCGAAATTGTTTGAGATGTCGTATTTGAAATTCATAACGGATACTACAGCCTGTGACAGAAAATTGTCTGTGCAGGTCTACGTCTTCGTATAACCCCCATATATCAGTACCTCCCTATATTCGGTATTTTGATAATTTAGCTACATTATTCACCATTTTTTTTAGGTTTCGCATTTGAATATTGTAAAGGCTTATGACAAAAGTTACCTATGCAGGTCCATGCCGTCGTATAGACCCCAAATATCACAGCTATATTCGGTATTTTTATGATTTTAACAGAATTTTTAATGGATTTTAATTTTTTGAAAAATGCCAAATTTGTACCAAATGGTGGAGGGTATTCAAAGTTCGACCCGGCCGAAATTACTGCTTGCTTACTTGTTTTATCTCACCCTGTATATCTTCACCCCATTTCCATATTTTATTGTTGGCCCATCCAAACTTTGGCCTTTCTTTACTTGGTTTAATTATTTGATTGCAAATTTAAAATTTTTTTCTTTTTTTTTTTGAAAAATGTTGGATATTTATTTTTTTTTTAATATTTTAAAAAATATTTTTCAAAATAAAATATTAAAAAATGTATTTTTGTCTTTTATTTCAATATTTCTAGTCTTCATGTTTGTTCCTTAAGTCTTTTGATTTGCCCACATTAATACCGTGAGGGTTTGTGTCTTAAGTCTTTTGTTTAAATGATTGCAATTTCAAGTTTGTTTCCTAAGTCTTTCGTTTTGAATGTTTTTTTTTTTTTCTCCGAAAAAAACTAAAATTCACCACACTTGAAAAATATAAATCAATTTGTCACCATTTGTTGGTGTTGTGTGTCTGGCTCCATTTTTTTCAAAAATTTAGGTCACTACCATTAAAAAATGAAAGGTTCTGTTATCACGCATTTTTTTATGTCTTTTGTTTAATAATTAATAAAACATGTCTATGGCTATTATGCAAAATAAAAAAGAAACATTTTTTTGGTGGGAGGGAGGGGGGATTACAATAAAAAACCAAAACCGATCCACTTTAAACAATTCCCCAAAAATGACATGGTTTCATGTTTGCCCTGACAAAACATAAAATGTGCGATTTAATTGCCGGCAGCAATTTGGGATTTTTTTTGTTGTGGAGCTGGTATTCTTAAGGGACCACCAAAGATATTTTTGTGCTCGCATTAATTGATTTTGAAGGAGATGCCTGGCATTTTTTATTGGAGCTTTGATCTGTTTCTTTTTTTTTTGTTTTTGGGTGGATTTTGTTCTTTTTGTTGCCCTGGCAGCGAGGTGATATAAGAACCGTTACAATCAAACTTTCTTTCGCAGTATCGGGAGCGAGATTAAACGCTTAACATCTTTATCGTTTTGGATCGGTGACTTGGTGAATAAGAAGTGAAACAAAGAAGAAATAATCATAACAAAAGAGAAAAAACAAGTGGCTGAAAGAAAAATCTCAATAATTTAACCCAAATTCAAATTTATTCAAAAATGAAATTGATTTTTGGGATTTTGATATTGTGGCAATTGTGTGGCTATTCCCAGGCCGGGGTAATATTTGTGAAATTCAAAAAAAAAAAAAAAAAAAAAAAAAAAAAAACAATTTTGAAAATATTGTAAAAATTACACCTCTCTCCATCAGGGTTATGATTATCCCAAGCCCAATCATTCTCAGGAATTGGTCTATCAAAAACCCACACGAGATGTGGCGGAAAATATGACCGAATCCGGGCCACCTCCGGGAGTGCAAGGCGATTTCATTGATGACCTCATTACCGAGCATAAACAGCAAATTTTACTCTCCATTTTGGGAGGATCCAAGGCCCCAGCCGCCCAGTTTGTGCCCAGCAGTGAGGGTAAAGCTTTCCAGGGCAACAAGTGTGCCAGTTGTAGTAAGTATGGACCAGGAGCAACTCCAGATACAGAAATTAAATGAATCCATTCCCCCCCATTCAATCGCCCCAGCCTGTGGTGTGCCCAACATCAATCGAATTGTGGGCGGCTCCAAAGTGAAAACCAACAAATATCCCTGGATTGCCCAGGTGCTGAGGGGCTCATTTCAATTTTGTGGAGCCACTCTTATCAATGACCGTTATGCCCTGACGGCAGCCCATTGTGTCCATGGCATGGACACTAAAGGTTTGACCGTACGTCTGCTGCAGCTAGATAAAAATGCCGCCTCCGAGGGTATTCTACGTAAGGTCTCTGCCGTCAACATGCATCGTCAATACAGTCCGGCCACTTTGCAACATGATATTGCCCTGCTAAAGCTGGATCAACCCGTTCCCCTCAAGGATCCCATTCGGCCCATTTGCCTACCCATTACCAGTAATCACAATTTCGACTTTAAACCTGCCATTGTGGCTGGATGGGGTTTGACATCGGATGGTGGGTCCTCGTCGAATTTTTTGCGTGAGGTCACGGTGCCCGTTATCACCAATGCCCAGTGCAGGGCCACATCCTACTCCTCCATGATTGTGGATACCATGTTGTGTGCCGGCTACTTGGAGGGGGGTAAAGATGCTTGCCAGGTAAATTTTCAGGAAATTTCCCGGAAATTCTCTTAAAGTCCCATTTTCTATTCTTCCATTCAGGGTGACAGTGGCGGTCCCTTGATAGTCCGTGAGGGTATTTTCCGTTTGGCCGGTGTTGTCTCCTTTGGCTATGGCTGTGCCAGTCCCGATGCTCCTGGGGTATATACCAGAGTTAGTAAATATTTGGATTGGATTGCCGCCAACACCAGGGATGCCTGCTATTGTGTTAAATAGAAACTCCAGGAGAGCAGGAGGCTTAATTCAAAATAATAAAAAAAATATTTAAATATTCTAATTTATTCAATAAAAATCAAACAAAAAAATTAAATAAAAAAGAATGAATTTTTCATGGAAATAAATAATATCGTAAATTTACGATATTAAAAAAAGTTACTGGAAAACTCGATTTCTTAAGAAAAATCCTTCGAAAAAAGTTGTAAATGTGAAAAATGTGTAATATCGTAAATTTACGATATGGCAAAAATGGACAAAACATATATTTAAATGGATTTCCTTTTCAAACCTCTTCGAAAGTTAGCAAAAAAAATCTAAAACATTAAAAAATACAATATCGTAAATTTACGATATTTTAAGAACTACCAAAACATCTAATTACATCTCTTTATTTTTTAAACTTCTTCGAAAATTTATAAAGGAGTGTTGCTAGATCTGAAAAAATGCAATATCGTAAAATTACGATATTCAAAAGAAGTCCAAATCACCTCATTAAATGACTACCTTACACATTTCTTTGAAAAAATTCAACAATTGTTTACTAAAACTGGAGAAATACAATATCGTAAATTTACGATATTAAAAAAAAAAAAAAATACCACAAAACTCAGTTACAAAGAAAATGTATCAAAATTCGTACGAAATTCTAATGACAAATTTAATTTAATGTGAAAAAATCCATATATCGTAAATTTACGATATTGAGAATGCTGAATAAATGAATAGCTGTTATTAAGAAGATGGCCAACTAACTCAATTAAAGAGGGTTTTTGGATGATATGACTTCGGAAAAAGTAATTTCATGGATAAAAACGCAATATCGTAAATATACGATATTGGAAAAGTGATCAAAATCTTAATTACAAAAGGTATTTTACATTAGCCCTTTGAAATTTTAACAAGAAATTCATTCAAATGTAAAATATTCATGTATCGTAAATTTACGATATTGAAAAAAATCAAAAATATTGACTTTGTATTTGAAAAATACACATGATAATTCGATTACAAATGATTTCCAAGAGATTCCTTCAAAAAAAAAAAATATTTTCATGGACATAAAACGCGTTATCGTAAATTTACGATATTATTTATTTCTTTAATAAATAAAGATATAAAGGTAAATAAATAGATTTTTAATATAATTTTGCAATATTTTATGACTTTTTGCAAAAGTATTTGTAAACATTTATAATTAAGTAAACATTTAAACATTTATTGTAAATTTACGATATTAGCCAATGTTGTGAAAAAGTGGGTACAAATTAACGGGATTCTTAATTTAACAAAAAATTTTTATTATTGTTTGGATTCGACATCACATTTCGGAATCTATTCCTAATATCGTAATTTTTTATCATGGACAAAACCCATAAAAGACTTGACTAAGTTTTTCTAATAAAGAGTTTCATCATTAAAATGCAATTTTCATGCAATTTTTTGGAATATCATAAATTTACGATATTATCTATTTCTTTGCTAAAGTGTATAAAAATGATGAATATCTATAGTTAAGAAAAATTGAAAATAAAATTTCGTTTTTATGTAACAATCTCATCTCATATCTCATATCTCAATATCGTAAATTTTCGGCATGTGAAAAATCCCGTAAAAACCTTGATTTTGACTAAACTTATCTAATAAAAATTGAATAAATGGAGTTTCAACATTATACTGCAATATTTTTTGACATTTCGAAATATCGTAAATTTACGATACTACTCATTTCTTGGATAAGGCGTAAAAAAATGATGGAGATACTTTTTAGCAGATATTTAAATAAAATTACAACTCTAAATCATATTTTGAAACTTATTCACAATATCGTAGATTTTGGTCATGTAAAAAATCCGAAAAAAAAACTAGGAGTTTGCAAATTTTTTCTAGTAAAAAGTAAAAAATGGATTCTCAACATTAAATTGCAATATTTTATGACTTTTTGTAATATCGTAAATTTACGATATTACCCATTTCTTTGCTAAAATGTGTGAAAATAATGGAGATCTATAGTTAAGTAAACATTTACATCAAATTACGGTTTTACATCTTATTTTGGAATTTTTTTCTAATATCGTAAATTTTGTTCATGTAAAAAATCTCCCAAAATACATGATTTTAACCAAATTTATATAGAAACGTATAAAGTAATGGAATTTCAGCATATATTTCCAATTTGCAGCATTTTTTGGAATATCGTAAATTTACGATATTGTCTATTTCTTCGTTAAAATGTGTGAAAATTATCGGGTTTCATTATTTAGCAAAAAAATGGTAAAATTCCGATTCTACTTGACATTTATGAGCCAATAGCTAATATCGTAAATTTTAATTATGGGTAGAACCCCACAAAAAGTTTGCTTTTTACTAAAATTATACAAAGGAGTATAAATCTCTGAAAATTAACCATTAAATTACAATTTTTCATAAATATTTTTAATATCGTAAATTTACGATATTCCATTTTTCATGGTAAAAATAATATACATGCATGTTCCCTTTGCTCAAAATAGTGTTTTGCATTTTTTCATAATTTCTTTGTTAGACTTTCCAAGTCTTGGCGGGGTTTAAATGTAATTACCCACTGCAATTATTATCTCCGCCTTATTCAGCCACCACATTTTTGTTATTGTGGTGTTGTTGTTGTTGTCGAAGTAAATTGTGGGGAAAATTTGTGTGCAAAAAGACACTCTCTGTCTTGGTTAAAGTTAAGTGGCAAAGTCTGTCTGGTCGGCTATCGTGTTATACCCAGTGTGGGAAGTTTTATGTTTTTCTTATGAGGATTAGGGAGATAGTTTTGAAAGGGGCATATGAATGGAGTTCCATGTGAGGCACGGAGTTCCATATGAGTGTGTGTTTGTCTCTCTAAAGTTATGTCCATATGAAATAAAGAAAATAAATGTGAACTAGGTTTTCTTTATGAATTTTAAAAGTGCTTTGCTGATTGTCTAATTACATGGCATGGCAAGGTAGCTGTACTTATGTTGCCGTGTGCATAGAAATATATTATTATTGTATTATGTTAATCATAACTATACGAACATGTTGTATTTGTTTAATCTATGAATATTTATGCCGGAGGGGGAAGGAGGAGAAGGGAGGCGGTTTACTGTTGCAAATGTGCGATATTTTTTTTTTGCTGATTTGAATTCACATTCTTGTAGCTGCAATTACAAGCACCATTAAGTGCTGGAATTGATTACTAAATGGCTAATTAGATGCATGGAGTTTCAATTCAAAATAATTATTGGAATTGGATTTATGATCACTTCCTCATCTAAATGTGGTCGAGATAGAAAGTCGTGTCAGTGGGACTAATGAGAGAACAGCTACCAGTTTAAAGTTAGGGAAGAAAATAAAAAATAAACAGAGATTATAAAAAATTAATTTATATATAATTTTTGTAATATCGTAAATAAATTTCAGTTTTTCTTTCCCTTTTTTTCCTCTTTTCGATTAAAATATTCATTTTTAGACATAAAATGTAACTTTTCCCCAATAAATCCCAATATCGTAAATTTACGATATTAGTTTTTGGTGTAGAAAATAATGCAAAAACTTTTGAAATGTATATTTTAACGATTAAATATCATTTCTAACCATTTCCGACATTTTTTTTCTAATATCGTAAATTTACGATAATAGATTTTAGTGTTAAAAATATCAAGAAAAGTGTTTAAATGTACAAAATAAACAAGTTTGTAACAATTTTAGACATTTTTTCTAATATCGTAAATTTACGATATTTGTTTCTAGTGTTAAAATATCTCGAAAACTGTTAAAAATATGTTTGAAAATGATATGAAATGTATATTTATTTGATAATATGTCATTTTTAACCATTCATTTTTTTTCTAATATCGTAAATTTACGATATTCATTTTAAGTGCGAAAAGCATAAGTATAAATATACATTTAGATATTTGAATGAAAATAAACAAATTTTTAAGCATCTACGACATTTTTTTAATATCGTAAATTTACGATATTAGTTTCTAGTGTTAAAAATATCGCGAAAAGGGTTTAAATGTATATTTGAAATAAAATAAACCAGTTTTTAACAATTTTAAACCTTTTTTCTTACATAGTAAATTTACGATATTCGTTTGTAGTGTTAAAATATCTCGAACACTGTTATAATACATTCTTGAAAATAATATGAAAGCGTCTTAAGTGAATTATATATCATTTCTAAAAATTCATAATTTTTTTCTAATAACGTAAATTTACGGTATTAGTTTCTAGTGTTAAAAATGTCGCAAAAAGTATTTAAATTATATTTGAAGGGAAATAAACCGGGCGTTAACCATTTTAGACATTTTTTCTAATATTGTAAATTTACGATATTTGTTTCTAGTGTTAAAAATATCGCGAAAACTGTTAGAATGTAAGGTTGAAAATAATATGAAAGCAGTTGAAATGTATTTTTAATTGATTATATGTCATTTTTAACCATTTCAGACATTTTTTTTCTAATATCGTAAATTTACGATATTTGTTTGTAGTGTTAAAAATATCCCGAAAGTGTTTAACTGTACATTTGAAAGAAAATAAACCAGTTTTTAACTATTTTAGCAATTTATATCTAATATCGTACATTTACGATATTTGTTTCTAGTGTTAAAATATCTCGAAAACTGTTAAAATATATGTTTGAAAATATAAAAGCGGCTAAAATGTATTTTTAATTGATTATATGTTATTTTTAACTATTTCAGACATTTTTTTTTCTAATATCGTAAATTTACGATATTAATTTCTAGTGTTAAAAATATCGCGAAAAGTGTTTAAATGTATACTCGAAAGAAAATAATCCAGTTTTTACCTATTTTAGATTTTTTTCTAATATCGTAAATTTAATATATTTGTTTCTAGTGTTAAAATATCTCGAAAATTGTTAAAATATAAGTTTGAAAATAATATGAAAGCAGCTGAAATGTATTTTTAATTGATTATATGTAATTTTTAACCATTTACTACATTTCTTTTCTAATATCGTAAATTTATGATA